ATAATAATAATAATAATAATAATAATTATAGGGTTTTTTTTGTTTTGATTCTTGTAGGTTTAGGCATCAGTTAATGAAAATTGCACAGTGTCACAAATTGCTAAGAAAAATTAAAAACAGGACCAAAAAAAATGTATCAATGGCTAAATGAAATTTAGATTTGAAGAAATCAATTGGAAGACTACATCATTTAAATTCTAAATATTGATAAACACATAAATCCATACAGATATCATTTTATGTTTTGTTGGATGTAATGAAGAACATTTTTGTTTCAGTCCTCCAAAGTTGTCTTCTTTTGCTCCCAAACCTTTGCTTTAATTTTGAAACTCCTCAAAGTCTTGAAGATGACTCCCACATGCAGTCAAACAGCTGAGTTGAAACAAACCAGATATTTTTCTCTACAGCTTCATCTGCATCCAGAGAACTGGAATATTCTCTCTGGACAGCTTGTACAACATGAACAGTCATGTTGTCAGAGGTAAAGTCCACAGCCTGAATGAGAGTGACTCACAGAAGAGTATAAATACATTTTACACAAAGCAAAAAAAATAAATAAATAAATAGGACTGCTGCACTGTAGTCTGATGAAACCTCGCGTAGCTGCTTTTCTTTTTTTGCCTCAGGGCAAAAGCATGAAGCCAACCTGCTGTGTCTCCTTACGTGTAACATAGTCAAACTTGTTGTAAAGCCCAACAGAAACCAATTTCTCTTCACTGGGAACAAGATTGAAAATACTGGGACTTCCAAATGCTTCACAGCTGCTCTTAGGCGTTTCGACAACCTTAGTGTTGAAACCTGGCTTTGAGTTTCTCTCTCAGCTCTCCATTTCCAGCCTTACAAAGGCTGCTCTTTATTGGGGATAATATGAGAACAGATACTGTGGGAGTGAAATGCTGAGATTCTACAAACTTATCACTGCATGTCCCGATGATGCTGTGACTTGTTTGATCGCATATAATAAACAGTAAAAAGCCCATAATAATAGCAAAGATGAAAAACTAGACTAAGCAGCGATGTTTTGGATGGTTAGTGAAGTTAAGATTGTTAACTTAATTTATTGATGTTTTTGCCCCCCTGAGCATGGTTACTACATGGCTGCTCATTTAAAAGGTCATGGCTCAGACAAGAAAAGAAAAGTACATTGAGAGCATAAACTGTAAAAGATGGACCACCATGACATTAGCCATGGATGTTTAAATCACTTCAGTTCTGGTGTAATCGGCTGGTGGTCAGAGAAACAGGACAAAGAAGTTAGACAAAGATTAAGGAGCCTAACATGGACATTAGAGGAACTGCGTCAATCAAACATGAATCGGTGAGGAAAAGACCTAAGAAGTGCCCGATGTGCTGTCAGATGCCATAAAAAAAGCACCAAAAGCAACAAAATTTCAACCCAGAGAGCCTCTGAGCTGACACCATCCAGACATGAGTATTAGTAATTCACGTGTTGCTGCTTTCTCTGAAGTATTTGCTATAATAATGTAAATTTGATGTTCATATTAAAACTTTAGTTACTCTGAAAGGCGTTAAACTATCGGTGAGCCTGAGGGCCACACATGCTTTTAAAACCTTTTAGAGTCTGAAACATACGTTTACTGAACAAACTGACAAATGTGTTTAAAAAATTAAGCACATGTTAATTCCATAAATGGTTTTTAATTTGTATCGCATTTGCTAAATCGGGCATTTAAACAAATGTTTTAAGATGTGTTGTGCAACTTATTTTGGTTTTTCTGTTGATGAAAAGCTGTACATATCAAATAAGGGGTTAAAAACTCGCCTAAAGGTGCACTATGCTTGAATTGTTCTGTATATAAAAAAAACAGGCAGAATGACAACCGAATAGCTTTCTAGGATTCATCTCTTTTCAAGAAACAAGGCACACAGCACTGCAGCACATTGAAAGGATGAGAGGTTCAGCCAACGCAGCAGAGGCTTGGACCTGGAGACGTAATATTGAAGGGCTGTACGTCATCACTACAGAGGAGGTGCAGATAATTCATTCATTTGACTGCATTCAGTCGCTGAAACTGCAGTTTAGGCTCAAATGCTCAGGTTGTGTCTGAAAGCCTTTGTACACCATCACATTAAACATACTGTATAACCAACGCAAGAGTATCACAGTATATCACATTCTGGTGGATTATTTGCCTGTCAGGAGTTTACAGAACCGTAAACAAATATTTTAATCTCACCATCAAAGAAGTAAAAACTGAGCCTGACATTCCTGTTTTTTTTTGATTAAACAATAAGTAAGGCGAAAGGCATAAATAAAGTGATTTGGGGCTATTAACTATTTAAGATTTCCTTTTGCCGACTCATCCTCGTTAATATTCCCACAGAGGAGAAGCGAAGTGCAGTTATTCTTCCAAACTTTGCAGCTATGCAGGACTAGGGAGAAACACCAATTAGCCCCCAATTACAAGTTATCTTCACTTCACCTGCTTTTATTTAGAGAGGGCTAGCACTGACCTTTCGATTAGTAG